TTTTAGAAGGGGGAATTGTTCCGCCTTTACTGTGTATTAACACATACAAACAAACAAACAAACACGAACACACACAAAAGGAAAGAAAAAGGAATGTTTATATTTTGATGATCTTGTTGCTCTTATGCCCCTTTTATCACTGTCACTGTTTTCTTCTTTTTTCCGTTTAAATCTCTTCTTGCTCTTATGACGCATGCACACACCAACACCTGCTGTTTTTTTTTTTTTTTTGTTGTTGTTGTTGTATCTTTCAAGAAGGAAGGGATTTCTGAAGAACAAAGGATTTATTACGCTTAACATTGCATTTTTTTTTTTTTCCAATTTTTGCAAAGACGACAACAACGACAAAAACAAAAAGAACACCCGAAAGGAAAAAAAAAAAAACCAACAATCTTTTGAGCATTTTTCATGTCGCAGCTCGCACATAACGTTAATCTTTCCATTTTTGAGCCAATTTCTCATTATCGGGCCAACCGTATCGTATGCACGATTGGCCCCAGCACGCAGAGCGTTGAGGCATTGAAGGGCCTTATAAGGAGCGGGATGTCCGTTGCACGCATGAACTTTTCACACGGCAGTCATGAGTATCACCAGACAACCATTAACAACTTGCGTGCTGCGGCAACGGAAATTGGGGCGCACATTGGCCTGGCACTTGATACGAAGGGGCCGGAAATTCGTACCGGCCTTTTCAAAGATGGAGGGATTGCACTAGCGCCCGGTGATACTGTATTAGTCACGTCTGATCCTGCATTTGAAAAGATTGGAACCAAAGAAAAGTTCTACATTGAATACCCTCGCCTCAGCATTACAGTGCGACCGGGTGGCTTTATCTACATTGACGATGGTGTGCTGAGTCTGAAGGTGTTAAGCAAGGAGGACGACTACACACTAAAGTGTTATGTAAACAACGCACACTTTTTGACAGATCGCAAGGGATGTAATTTGCCAGGATGTGAAGTGGATTTACCAGCGGTGTCGGAAAAGGACCGCGAGGACTTGAAGTTTGGTGTGGAGCAAGGTATTGATATGGTTTTCGCCTCCTTTATACGTACGGCGGAACAAGTGCAGGAAGTACGTGAGGCGCTCGGTGAGAAGGGCAAGGATATCCTTATTATCTCCAAAATTGAAAACCATCAGGGTGTTCAAAACATTGATGCTATCATTGAGGCGAGCGACGGTATTATGGTGGCACGCGGCGACCTTGGTGTGGAGATCCCAGCAGAAAAAGTTGTCGTGGCCCAGATGATTCTCATCAGCAAATGCAACGTGGCGGGTAAACCCGTCATTTGCGCGACACAGATGCTTGAAAGCATGACGACAAATCCCCGTCCAACACGTGCGGAGGTCTCGGATGTCGCAAATGCTGTTTTCAATGGCGCTGACTGTGTAATGCTCTCTGGGGAGACAGCAAAAGGAAAGTATCCGAATGAAGTGGTACAATACATGGCCCGTATTTGCTTGGAAGCGCAAAGCGCCACAAACCAGGCCGTTATGTTTAACAGCATTAAGAAAATGCAAAAACTTCCCATGTCACCCGAGGAGGCGGTTTGTAGCAGTGCTGTGAATTCCGTGTATGAGGTTCGGGCAAAGGCGCTGCTTGTGTTGAGCAACTCTGGTCGCAGCGCGCGACTTGCAAGTAAGTACCGTCCTGACTGCCCAATTATATGCGCCACTACCCGCATGCGGACGTGTCGTCAGCTCACCATCACTCGATCTGTGGATGTCGTCTTTTACGACGCTGAACGGTACGGTGAAGACGAGAACAAAGAGAAGCGGGTGCAACTTGGCGTGGACTGCGCCAGGAAGAAGGGCTACGTTGTGCCAGGGGATCTCATGGTAGTGGTGCATGCGGATCACAAGGTGAAGGGGTATCCAAACCAAACCCGGATCGTTTATGTCAGCTGAGGGACAGAGAAAAGAGGGGGAAGTGACTCATACCGCTCCTCTCTCTCTCTCTCTCTCTCTCCTTTTTTAAAATTTCTTTCTTGCCCGGAGAGCAGGGAAATTGTAACTGAAGGATAATAAAAACCTGATAAGAAAAACAACAACAATAAAATCCCACGAGAATGAAACACCGGCATATATAAGGACGAATGTAGAGACAATGAGAAGAATCCACGGGAAAATTAAAAAATAAAGAGAAGAAAAAAGAAAAAGAAGAACGAGAAGAATGTAAACACGGGGAAAAAAACAAAACCTGCGGAAGGGGACTAAGAGAACGAAAATACACACGCACACACACAAAAAAAGGAGACAACAACAAAAGCAAAAAGTATATATATATGAGTTTGATTGCATCAAACCGAGCCAATTAAGGGGACGAAGGAAGAAGGGAAACGGTGCACCACACAAAAAGAATGAGGGCACTCTCACCAATTTTTTTTTTCTTTATGCGTGTTGCTGAAAGTAAGGGTGAGATGGAACTGCCATGGCTGAAAATCCGCCTGACAGATTTGGTTAAAAAGGAATTCCAGTTTTTATATACACATTTATTTACTTATATACATGAGGCCGTCGAGTACTTTTGGTCATAACAAAAGATCTTCGCATGTACAGTTGTGTACGTCACGGGTGTAATCCGCCCTTTTCGAAGTTCTAAGCTTCATTTTATGCCATCATGTTCATTTACGTGTTCCTTTCTGAATAAAAGAGGGGAATGGCTATTTTTCTTTTTTCTTTGTGCTCTGTTTTTGTTGTTGTTGTTTACTTCTTATTTGGTTGCGTTGCTTTCGCTTTTGATACCCCTGAAGGAGTTTCTTTTCACAGCACCACTACGCCTTCTTTTCCTTATCAAATTTTCAGTATATTCACGGGGGAAGCATTATAGTAATGGAAGTGCCATCGACATTGCAGAATAAGTTGGCGTATCAAACAATATTTCCACAGTATCTGGATGCCAATCTTACCCCGGCCGAGGGGCGGCGCCTGACGAAGACGCAGTCGGTGGAGAATCCGCAGCTTGAGGAGATTGCAGTCGTGTTGGGGCAGTTGGGCTACAAGGACTTCTTCATTGAACGGACCCTTTCCTTACCACGCTCGCAGGCATCAAAAAAGTATGCCATTGTTCCCAAGGGATGCGTGAGGGTGGCTATCAAACGACCCCAATCAGAGCATTACATTCGTATGAGTGAGTTTGACACACAGACACGCGGCGTGACAGTACAAGGCATAGGCAGTAAGCAGGATCTCTTGCGCCGTGTAGCTGCCGCAATTAAGGCCAGCGGTGTTCCTCGTCCACAGCCCGTCTCGGTTGCTGATGCCACGGGCGCCTCCTCGAAGAAGAAGTAACTGTGAATTTAAAGCGGAAAGAAGAAGAAAGGCTCGAGGGGGGAAATTGATGCTCTCACGTGTACGGAGGTGTTTCCCCCATTTTTTTTTTCTTTTTTCTCCTTCATTCTGCATGGAATGGGAGGAAAAAATGAAGAAAAAAAAAAGAAGGGGATATATATATGTATATTGGCTTGTCATTTCCACTTTTCAAGATACCTTCGCTGTATCCCGGGTCGTGGGCGGCGGCTCATACACTTTTTTTGTTGTTGCTGCTTTTTTCCCTTTTCTTTCAGCCTCGCGAATTCATTTTACGCATCGCAACGAACATTTCGACCGATGTGGAGAAGGGGTTGAAGGTGCATTCTGTCAAAAAGGGGTACGATGCGCTAAATTGCGCGCCAGACGGCGTGCGGTTCCTCTCGTCTAACAGTTGAGAATCTCACTGCAGGGCATACGCCGTTCTATGAATATGACAAAATGAAGATGAAGAGATGAAGAGTAGTCTTGGGCATAATTTCGATGCGACGGGGCTTCTTCTACAATAGTGCATTTCTCCTCTTCTTAAGTTCCCCAAGTTTATTGCACCACACCGTGCCTAACTCTTTTCACTGCGAACCGGTGGGGATAGTAACATCAACGGCATAAAGTCAACTTTAAACCCACCGGGTTTTTGTGCTTTTTTCTTCAATAACCAAGTTGTCCCTTTTCATTTTCTCAAGTGGCTTTCTTGGGGCGTTATCTCAGCGCCAGTGAAAACAGTTTGGATGAGCGCCAATGACGTAATTCTACCTCGCGCCGCGAGGATATGGATTGTGTTGCTACTTTGTACATGTGTGTTCTCTATTTTCCTTTTTTTATGGCGACGTGGAAACGTCTACTGATCAATTCTAATTGTATTGTAGAAACTGCGTTCTCTGTGGCTTCTGAGCTCAATCAAGAATAATGTGTCCCCTCTTGCGAATATTCTTTTGTTCTTATCGATAGTCGCATGGCTTCGTTAGGATCTGATGTTCAAGCGACGAGCAATGAACTTGTGTCTGCCATAGAGGAATTGAAAGAAAGGCGAACTGAGATAGAACGGAGTATAAGGTGTGATGAGGAGGAGCGAAATCGAGTGCTCGCCGAACTGAAGGCATTGAATGCCCGTCTTACCACAATCGAAGAGAGTCTAAAGCAGAAAATAGGGGCGAAGTCTGTTCTCGACAAAGTCATCCATGAGACATCAGAGGGTTTTCGGGGTATTGTCGAGGCATCAAGAAAGCTACTCAGCAATGTCCGTGAGGAATCATCTGGTCTTCCAAGACACAACGGCCTGTAGGCCCAAAGAAGCCGTGGAAAAGTCTAATTGTGCGCACATAAGGCGATCCTGTGTGACATTCCTGTGTATATATACATTTCCATTTTAATTGCGACAAAGCATTTTTTGCCAAAATACGAAAGTACACAAGTGCGCAAAAACATATCCATTCTTTTATCTTCCATTTCTATTTGTTTTTTGCTTCATTTTTTCCACAGCTTTTTCTCAAATACACTCAATGGCCCGCCCGCCGGTCACCATCGCAGAGCACCTCCGCCCTGCTGAGTGGAGACGTGAAGGAAAGCCGCCGCCCCCATAGTGGGTGCTGCCGTGGAGGGTAAAAAGCGCACAAACACACATACACACACACCCGTCACGTGTCGGCCCGGGCTGGCGCGGCGGCGCGATAATCCGTCACAGCCAAGCATCAACAAAGAAAATACCAAAGTTATAAATCATTAAATCATTAAAACAAGTGATCTATAAATAATAAAACAAAAGGATATACGTGTCAGAGGCATCGACGTTAAAGCCACAGCTGCGAGGACCTCTTCGTGTCTTCTCGCCGCGTAGGGCGCTGCTGGGGGCAGAGTCTCTCCACTTAGAGGGGAAACCGCAACAAATTTTCCGTGAAGCACGTCTTCCTTACTTCTCCAGTGTACACTCCATGTTTTTTTTTTTATCGATCGCAGATCCAAGCAGCGAAGTGGATGCAGACTTATCTCTTTGCGCAGTTTACGCTGGCCGGCTTCCACAATTTCCGGTCGCCGCCTGTGGGGCATGCCGCGCGGCGGCGGGCCAATCCGTCATGGCTTTAACACTGAAAACCGCATGTTGGACGGCAAAATTCCACCGGTGGTGATCGCATCGGGGCGTCGTCGCCGGGTGGGTTGTGTCTTCTCGGCGGCCTGACACTCTGCCATCGTGGAATCGGCGACGGTGTGACGGTAATGAATGGATGCGTGCGCGCCTTTTTGGGCACACGGTGCGCTTTGCCTTGGCGGCACTCTCCGACGCGGAGGCGAATTCTCTGTGTGAGTTTGGTCTTCTTCCCGCCGAGTTTCCAGCTTTGCAGCGCATGGGCATTTTATCTCCATTTTTGGCGTCGTGCCTTTCTTGCTGTCGAGATGCTTTTGCCGTGCGTGTGTGTGGCCAATCCCCCGGTGTTCCCCGCCTGTTTGTCGCAGGAAGGGCGCTGAAGGAGTGCTGCGATCTTTGGCGCCTGCTGCGGCTCTGCTTTGGGACGTTCGTGGGCTCTCATTTGGGGTGGTAGTCCCGCTTTCGTTTGGTCCTTGGGTCCACAGGAAATGCATTGGAACGGGGTGGGCACAGCCAGATCGCCATATTCACGGGGACGCCTCCCACTTGTCGGGGGACAGCCCTGATTGCGGAAGTGGTGACGATGAAAACCGAGTCCGCTTTCCTGTTCGCACGGCGCCGAGCGGAGAATGCAGGGAATGGCTTCGGCCTGGGCTGTGCAGCCCATGGCGGAGGCGCGATCGTTGTGCCGTCTCTCGCTCTCGTCCCCGCCAAAGTGGCTGGAGGCGGTTTAAATGGGGTTCCTGGAGTTTTCGGCTTGCCAGAGGAATTGGCTTTCCACAGCGTCTGGAACCGCGTAACGCCATGGGCGTTAACCATTCGCGCCAAGACGCCAGCGCGGCGGCCGCGACGCCTTCCGCACACCGGGCCGCTTTCCGGGCGCCGGATCGTGGCGGGGCAGAGCCCAGCGGGAGAAGTTTCCGTGCGAGGTTCTTTGCGTGCCTGCTGTGGGCGTCCGGGCCGCAGCAACGGCATTTGCCCGGGGTGACGGGTTGCGGTGGTCGTGGCGGCCATCCGTGCTTGTGCGGGGCCCCGGCGCAAAGGCGGGCCAGCGCGGCCTCTTCCCCGCGAGCGAGGGCGGAGTCCGTGCGCGTGGGTTCCCGGCCGGTTACGGCGGTGCGACAAGCTTCTGACTTGAGCGGTCTGGCGCAAATTATACGTTTGACCGTTGCGACGATGCCGGCGATACATGTGTCTGTGGGCCGTGTCAGTTCGGATGCCTTCCGGGCTTTCGCATCACAAGCCTCATTCTTGGAACGCCGCAGTGGCCCGAAGAAAAGCTGCACCTGCGCGCTCCTCGGCGCTGCGGGCGGGCAGCAAGCTTCTTTCCGAAGCGCTGGTCCATGATGGAGCCGTGTGGGTTTCAGGCGGCGCGCTGCGGGTGGCTGACGATGAGGGCGCTAGGCCGCAAGGCGCCACCACGCGTCTCGCATCGGGGCACGCACCGGAAGCCGCGCACCAGCACTGTATCGAGGAGGGGCCGCAGCTGCGCTACCAACACGGCGTCCCCCGTTCCGCCGCTCTTCGGGGTTCGCGCGACTATTCCGCTCGCCTTTGAATGTGCGGAATCCAGCGCAAAGCGGGGCGTCGAGGGGCCGTCCCGGTGCCGTGCGCGGCCCCCACCCCACGCCAGCGCGAGGCGGAACGCTCCCAAAGTGTCTCTGATTTCCCCGCGCAAGGGACCAAATCGCTGTCAGTCGGGGCAGGCGCTGTTTCGATTCCTCACGGAGTTTGCCCGCGTGTGTGCTCATTCCGCGGGAATTCAAGGAATTGACACCCAGAAGGACCGGCATGCGCTCCATGGCGACCGGGGCGCCGTCGTATTTGAGGTGGAGCAGGGCCGCACCGCCGGTGAGAAGGAGGCCTCGCTTCGTCTTCCCGGTGTTTGCTTTCATGAAGCGTTCTCTGGTCCACTCTGCCACGACGCTCGGGCGTTCATGCAAGGACGAGCCGACCATACCCCTGTCGCTTTGCTGTGTGATGAGGGCGCAGGCGTCAGCAAGGAATCCGTGGCAGATTTGGGAACGCGTTCGAAAGACGGCCGCTAAGGGGCTTCACGACGATGATGAACGTGGCGGGGCCTAGCACTGTCCCTCGCGGCGCTCCTCCTGCGGAGGTCTTGGGGAGGATGTGGGTTTGCCGGCCCCAAGCACAGCACTTCCATTATTGAGGAACGCTGCTGACCAGTGCGCGGTGTGATTGCGAACCGACAGTCGCCGCGTTTGCAAGATGATTTTGTCATAGTCTGCCGTGTTGAAAGCCTTGGCGCGGTCCACAAAGACAGCCGCCGTGCGGTGCTTTTGGGTGTTGCGATGCGTGGCCGCCCTGAGGTGCAGCAATCGGTCGAGGGCGAAATCGCCGGGCCTGCAGCCAGATGGCTGCGGAGTCGACGGGGACTCGATGGCGTCTTGGATGCGTGCGGCAGGAATGCGTTACATGAGCTGCCCGAGGCAGCTGGCCAGCGTGACGGGTCGGCGGAGTCGCGGTCGAATGCCGTTTTCCGCGGGTTGAGGATGGTATGATAACCCACCGCCGCCAGCTCCGCGAGACGGTTCCTGCATTTGGGCGTCTATCGAACAGCCGGGGGAGGCACGCTTCGCCACACGGCCTAGATGGCGCCAGGCCTCTCCATGCATTCCGTCGCGGCCAGGCGCCGGTCCCAAGGGCAACGGCCGTGGAGCGCGGTCGTGCTCTGCCATAGTTATTTGGCGCGAGGCCCCTCGCATTCGTCAGGGTCGGTGGCGGAGGGCGGTGCTTTGGGTGCCGCGTTGCTCCCGCCGCCCACAGTTTGATGAGTTGGCCGACCTTCTGGTGCTTGCTGAGCGCGGTGCCGTCTGGTATCATTGCTGGCGTGCTCAGGGGCGAGGCGTACACACGGCGTGCTGCCTGCCGCCCGTGGCCTCGGGTGTGGTGCGGAGCTCGCGCCGGCGGTTTTAGATGCTTCGCGCCGCACGTCTCCGCGTCGGAGTTCCAGCCGCTGACCGCGCTATGCGTGAGACACTGCGGCGGTAGCGCGGTCCAATTCCGCCAGCCCTGGGGTCCAGAATGGGGACGGCTGGTGATCCCATGCCGGGACTGTCGCCTTCGTGGCTTTCCGTGTTCCTGATGCAGTGTTCTTCCCTACGCTGCCCGTGCTGGCTATCTCGTCGTGCTTTTTCCAATCCGCCATCTTCCGTGCCAATGATGCCCGGTCAGGATTCGGTACCGCTGCGGGTGTGTCTTCGTCCCCGATCCAGAAAATCAAGAAGGATCATGCAGTGAGCGCTGTCCGCCGTTGACGTCCCGCAATGTGTTCCCAGGGCGTGGCCGCACAACGGCATCGCCACGGGAGTCTGATGGAATTTTGCGGTCCCAAACCTCTCTGTGTGCGTTCACGCCTGCGCTCATTAGTTGTGGTCCGCCCGCGCAGAGCGGTCTGTCCAAATCCTCGGCCGCCACACACCTTGGGGAGCGGGAGGGAGATGCTCCGGAGAAACCGTCAGCTTCATTCCCGCCTCCGGGTGGATGGTCGCTCGCGCCAGCCCTACGCCGGCGACAAGAGCCGGTCCTGCTTCCGCCTGCAACCCTTCACGGTCGAGAATGAACACACCGCCGCCTCCACAGGTGCGAGCGGTCCCGTGGTGCTGGAACCCCGGCGGGCTGGAACTAGTGGCTTCAGGGCGGGGGCGTCTTCTTCCCACTCAACACGCAAAAAACACTTTCTCGTCATCGAACTTCATGCTCCGCGCCAAGCTTCAAAAAGATAGATAGGAGAGAATAATCGCCTGGGCCGCTGCCCGAATCCTAAAATTATCTAAAGAAAACAAGCAAGAAGGGAAAAGGGGTAAATGGAGAGGCAGTGGCTTCGCCACATCCTCAATGTTTGCTCCAAGTAAATACAGGTGTTTTCGAAAGGCCACAATTGTGACGCGATGCAGTCTATTCAAATGGATGATGTTTATTCCTTACGAAGTGGAAGGCTTTGGGATCCTCCAACCACAAGACCCCGCCGAAAGGTAGGAATCAAAAGAGTGTGGGTGGGAAAGTAAAAAAAAAAAAAAAAAAAAAAAAAACGGAAAATGACAAACAAATTCAAAAGAAAAAAAAATAATACGCTCCAACAATACAAACAACTTCTTTTTTATAAACGCCGCTCCACACAAACACTGCTTCTTTTGCGTTCTTGACGCACGATCCGGTTCAATTTGGAAAAATATTAATTC